AATTTTGCATTAGCAATTGATTTGCCACCTAAGCAGAGTCACTTTGGACGCCTGCCGTGCTACCGATGGGATCCGCGGGCGCAGGATGCTCGGTACGGCGGCGGTGCTTTGTTGCCTGGGGCACGCCGCTGCGGGACCTTGGCTGGCGAGGAAACATCTTGATTAGACAGGAGAGGAGGTCTCTGTATCTTCCTCTATATTGCTATTCCCCAATAGGGAAGGAGAAAAAGAAGCTGTGCTTATTAACAAGGTTTCAGTCAAGTCTTAAAACTTTTAGATGTATTCAGGAGGCAAACACTCAGCTTTTCTAAAAGGTCTGATCTCACTACTGAGATCAGTATGCACGGTCTGCATATGCATAGGAGTTTCTCTTCCAAACCTGGCCAGGCAAACAATCGTGTTCAACCTAAACTTCAGAAAGTATTTAAATTTAAAAAAAAAAAAAAAAAGTGTATTTCTTTTACCACAGCACCATACTCTTTTGAGGGTACGTGTAAAAATTGCCTCAGATAATTCAAACCTACTACTGACTTCTGCTGGTTTATCTGTCTTGGTCAGAAGCACAGATATACTGTAGATGGAGTTGTGCTACCAGCAGGATTGAGGGAGCAGATTGATGGTTTTTAACCAGATAACCTTGTTCTGAGAGGATCTTGAATCATGGTACCGGAGGAAAGCACAATTTTGTGACAGTGGTTGTCTGCGGTAGAAGCAAATGCTGTAGTGATGTTTGTATACTCTTAAATGGCAACTGTGATGGATGCGGTCAGAGGCGTTGTTCGTTAGTTTTATGCAGAAGTAGACAGAAGAAAATATACAGAAGGTTTTGTAATTGCTTGTACAAAAATTAGTTTTTGCAATCGTATAGTATTTTGTCTGACTTACTTTTCCCTGAGTCTGCATTCCTAGTAATGGTGACTAACTGTTAGCTACATGGCAAATCATAAAATGGATTGCAGATCCCCAAACAGGTAATCTGCTCAATGTACACGCCAAATCTATCAGCTTAAAATAGTAGTAGTTCTGCAAAGGCAATAAAAATCACCCACTAAATTAAATGTTTCTCCAGTCCCATGCTGCTATGAGAATTGCATTTCTAAGTGAGTACTTTGAAGTTTTCTGAACTATGAAAATAAATTGTGAATGCCTAATCTCAGCGTTTTTGTAAGATGTGAGCCAAGATAATCGGTGCTTGAAGAGTGTACATTTAGTAAAACAAAACTCTCAGAGGGGGTTTGATCACTTTGTCCTTCAACAGCACAAGATTGGGTGGAGGCACAGGAACAACTGGACTTGTTTGCCACTTCCCTGAACAAGAAGGCATTTGTCTGGCAGCTGATGCAGCCTGGAGCGCAGCTAAACCCGTGGCTGTCAATTGATGGCAATTCCAGCTGGCAACGTTTAGTGCTGTCTGTACGCTCCCCTTCTCCATCAGACGCCTTCCCGGATCCGTTGAGGTTCAGGAGCAGGGTCCCATCTGGGTTGCCAAAACTGTTACTGTACGTCAGTACTTCAGAAACTCTCTAAGACTCAGCTTTGGAGTTTTAGAAAGCAGGAGTTCTTTATTGCAGCGCTGGGTGCACGGGGTATTGCTCCACCTATCGTGCATACCAATTCTTTCAACAGTTGTGATTATATACAAAATGGATATACGTATTCATGATTTTTTTCCTGAAAGTAATTAACATATTCATCCAAATTCCATGAACTCATTAATATATGAAAATGTTCTTGGTGCAGACGCGCTCGAGGTCTTTGGTGGTCTTCAAGCTTCTCTGGTGGTCTTCAGTAGTCTTCCTCACTTGTCCGCTAAGTTCAGCCTCTTCTAGTGATTCTGTGCAGTGGGATACTTCACGTGTTTTGATACAACTTATCATAAAGAATGTTCATCAGTAACTCTAATATCTGTCTTTTCTTGATTTTCATTCTTTTAACACAAGCCATATTGACACTTTTAAGCTGAATTATCTAAAAGGGCCTAAGGTTCTCATCTTCCCAGGGAATTGCAAGGTCGACCAAAAGCAATTTTCTCTGGTATCTTATACATTTTGCAACATAGAGGTTTTCTTATCCACCGCTAGTCAGCATAACAAGGCCACTCTGTTCTTCTCACAACACAAGATGTAAAGCATCTTGTATCACTCTCCTTGAGCCGCTCAAGCTACTGCTTGAGTGCAGTAGCTGCCAGTGAAATTTAGAGAAGGAGACTTCTGGTACTGCTTTGTCCTGGAGAAGAAAGGGGATAAGAGAGGCCTTGTCTGGAGCTGCTTTTGGAGAGACTAAACACATGCAGCTGCGGTACCAGGTTGGAATGGTGGCACCTGCCCTGACCCATCACTCTCCCTGTACTGCGGAGTTTTTCACAGCCCTCAGTGTTAATGATGTGTGCTTGGGTGTAGTTAGCACTGAGTATTTCTTTGAGTCATCAGCAGCATCCCTGATAAAAACAGCCTGTCCTCTGGCAGGCAGGCCACCCAAAACTAAGCCGCAATAACGAGACCTCAGCAGCCTGGGTGCTGGCTAGCCTTGGAGCCGTGGGAACCTGATCGTGGTGTGCTTCAGAGGCAGATTCAGCAAATCCGCCTCTGTTCCCAGGTTTCACAAATGCTCTCTTTTGATTCCCTTTCATAATTTCTCAGGTTCTTTGATTGAAGATGTTTGTGTCTCCACCTCAGCAGTTGCTTTTCATCTCCCAACCCTGAGGTGCCTTTCAGTGTCTCCTTCTGTCTGCTATAAGGAGTCTCAATTGCACGGTAGCAGTTGCTCTTCTTGCCGATTTTGGATTCAGCTATAGGTTACTGAAATCAAATATTACTCCTGTTAGCTACAGGCTGCTGGGCCTACAGTGCTTTCCCACCTGCAGGAGATATTGAAGATAGGAAGTGGGAACAATGTGATTTTTCGTGATTCTATGGTTCTATGAAGTTTTGCTCCTTGCTGTCTTTTTGGCTGGTGGGTGCTGACAAGATGCCTCATGGCAGTGGTAGTACATTTGCGATGACAAGGAGTTTGTATTCGAGCAACTGGATTTGATCGGCATCGTGATGAAGCGGGATGCTGACTTGCATCTTTGGGACGAGTCCTATAGGAGGCTGCAGTACTCTCAAAAGAATATACCCCTTGGCTTCTTTTGGCTAAGTTGTTGCATTTCAAATTGCAAGAAATTGTTCTTCACAGTTGTATTGGCAAGAGGATGAGAACTGTTAACAATCCAGACAGTTCAAGTCTACCTGCCTAGTAGAAATTTGATGTTTACTCGGTGGCAAGCCTGCTGAATACAACCCCAAACTTCTGCAAGACTTCACTTAGGGACTGGATCCACTGGGGGTGAGGGTTCCCTCTTTCCCTCCTCCTTCACCACGGGAGATGTTTTAAGGAGACATGTAGGAACCTGTCTCAGCTGTCTGTATGTTGAAGAGATGTAGCCTCTGAACAGTCAAAAAGAGCTTGAGAAGACACCGACGGCAGTGGGCATCGCTGGGTGGGTCTGGGTGGTGGTGCTCCACAGAGCCAGCAGGAACAGCCATGCTTCCTCTGCTTAGATTTCTAGATGTTTTTATGGCTTCTTTCATCAAACTTAGCTACATGCTCCCCTGCTTTTTAAATAGAAATATGTCTCCTTTTGTTCTAACTGACGCTTTTCAGTCTCTGATATTTATTTGCTTTACTTCTTTGGTAAATGCAAGCATGCTTTGCCAGTACAGCAGATAAAATGTGTACCCTGTGCTTAGATACGTAGTCTTAGATGTCCTCTGCGTGTGTTTCTGGTGTAGTAAATTCACTTGTGAGGGTGGCAAATTGGTTCAAGGGTCTGTGGCTGTTTACAGCAGCCCTGGAATAAATGTGCCCTAGAGGGATGACAGTGCTTGCGCTGAAGAACTTGAGCTCAGTAAAGAAGAATTTTTGAGCTCAAAAATTGGGTGTGAGATTACAGGTGGAACAGATACAAACAGAAAACTTGCAAGTGATGCAACATCATTTTAGTAGCCAGAATTTCAATGACTCTGTCTCCAGGCCTAAAGCTTAAGCACGCTCTATTAGTTGTGGACATAGGACGATTTCACGCTAGTTACGGGACAGTACTGTTGTAAACGAGGTTGTTCCTTGAGGTGTTGGAAATGCGCTGATGGTGTTTGGGAAGCGAGGCATGCTGTGAAAGGATGGGGGTTGGCATGGGCACGTTGTACCGGTCAGGCAGCAGGAGGCCTGCAGGCAGGGTGTAGGTTGGAAAATGGATGTCTGTACCTGTTTCTTGCAACGAGAAGCAACTAGCAAGTAATAAAGGTCTGAATGTTTATAATATGGTAGAGGAAGCATACAGCCTTGGAAGATCTGTGCATGTTGGGACTTAGAGTGAGCTGTCAGAGGAGCCATGGAGATCACCTCATTACCGTCAGTGGTAAAAAAACAGTAGTGTTAGTAAAATGGAGAGAGATAGGTGGGAATTGGCTCCATGTTACATCCAAGTTTTTTAAAAAAAAAAAAAAAAAAATCACGAGAAGGAAAGATGCAAGGCTGGATAGGGACACGTTGGTGGATCAAGTGTGAGTGCATTCGTGGTTATCTTTAGATGGAAGAACAAATCACAAACAGAGAATTTTTACAATTTTGTAGTTGCTTGGATGTAGCTGGGGATTTGAGTTGGAACAAGTGATAGCTGTAACATTCAGTAAGGAGTTGGCAAGATGTAAAGCACGACATTAACAGCTGTCTTCAAACTTGTTTTTCTTGAAAAATTAAAGCTTTTGTAGTTATTTGAAGCATCGAGACACCCTTTGTGATATATCGCCTGTTCCCATGTCAGTGTGGCTTTGGCCATAAAATGCTAGTTAGCTTAGATTTTTCTCAACAAAAGGCTTGAAGAGAGTGCTTCATGTGAAACTGTCAGTGCCCCAAAAAATGTCTTCGAAGCTGAGGAACAAAAAGAGAGAGATAAGATATCTTATTGTATTAAAAATAACTTTTGTTACTCAACAGTATTTTTCTTTTTTTTTTTATAGATCCTAATTATCTGATGGCTAATGAACGCATGAACCTGATGAACATGGCGAAACTGAGTATCAAGGGGTTGATTGAATCGGCGCTTAATCTGGGCAGGACACTGGACTCGGACTACGCACCTCTTCAGCAGTTCTTCGTTGTGATGGAGCATTGCCTTAAACATGGCTTGAAAGGTAACCTTGCTTGAGAGGAGTCCTCCCGGGCTGTTTGTCATAGCATAGCAGCCAGAAAGAGCAATCTTGTTTTAAAAATCTAGTTTTGTAATGTACACTAGACTGAAGAGAGGCAGAGCAGGGTCACTGCTGTGATTGCAGTGGACTTGACAGACCACAGGAAGGGCGGGGGGAAATAATCTGCTGAGGGTATAACACTGTAGGTGAAAAGTTCACAGTTGTTGCAGGTGCTTGCCATTTTTAAAACATCTTTTCAGATGACTCAAGTGTAGCTAAGTGATCACTGATAAAATTAGCTCCTCGGCAAACTCATGACTCTTTTTTTTTTTTTTTTTTTCTGCACTTCCTCATGCTTTAGGGATGCAAGGGTCCTCTTGCTGAAGAGGAACTGTAACATGGAGGTCCTTTCTCAATAGTTGTATCAAAACTCTGGATTTTTGCTTTGTGCAGCTAATGACTTGTAAGCTGCTTTTTAACATAGCAAGCAGAGCATATACTTAACTATATAACATGGAGTGACAGCTAAAATTGCCAAGTACCAGACTATCCTTCTTGATGTGCTGCCTTTGCATGATAGTAGCTTGAGATGAAAAGCAGAGGATATTAAACGCTTTGTCAGCACCCATACGTACATCCTGCCATGCTTCTTTAGTAGTTGTGCTTTCAGCATTTTGTGTGACAGAAGCAATTCCTGTGCTGGTTAGGGTAACATTGTGCGAGGGAGAAGTGTTCATATTCTTTAGCTTCTTTGTTTGTCCATTTGCCAGTGCCCCTGCTGTTGGCCATAAGTTTGAAGTTAACAGGGTTCTCGGTCTTCTCACTGCTGCTGTGAAATAGCAGTAAGAACTACAGAAGAAGAAAATTAATTTCCAGTTTTAGTAGGTAGGAGTCACTAGAAGGCTTTTCTGAAGGAGGAAAGGATGCACAGAGAAGCCCCTAGCAGCTCTGGAGAAGGAGCGGGTTCAAAGTGGTGTGGTCTTTTTCTTGTAATGTGATGGTCAGCGAGAGAAAGTTACTGTGCACACATCAAGTGTAACTTAGGGACAGTGGCAGCATCCTAGTAGAAATTTTGACCTTTAGCAGTGAATCTAAGTTGCTGGTTATCACTGAATGTTGTTATTTTGGCATATTGGGGATGTATGGAATATTTTCTGGCATCTGCCTTGAGCTCCTGTTGCCTTATTTGTACTATACCAGTAATTGCCACGCCTGGGCATAAGAAGTCATCTTTTGTACTTGCCTGGCAGCAGTCCCAGAAGAATCTTTCTGGCAGTTTTTGTCTACTGTTCATTTACTTCTGACCATGTTTGAGAATGCGTTTAGTCAGCACAGGTCTCACGGGCTCATTTTATATCTTTTTCTTTTCTAGCCAAAAAGACTTTTCTTGGGCAAAATAAGTCATTTTGGGGACCTCTAGAACTAGTAGAAAAACTTGTTCCTGAGGCTGCAGAGATTACAGCGAGTGTTAAGGATCTCCCAGGGCTGAAGTAAGTACAGTCTTTTACTGCACAAGTACGTAATACATTAATTATTTAAGAAGGATCGTGAAGAAGAGAAGGAAGGGCAAACACAACCTTCAGGAATACTCCTGCCACCTTCTGCTGTTAAAAATGGATCACTACTCTCTTACTGTTGATCAAGGTTCTGCAGAACGGGAGGATAGGGTATATTCTTTCTGTGTTAAGCGCATGGAGTCTTACGGGCAATAGCGCATTTATTGCTAGCACTAAACGAGTGACGATGTGTCTCAGGAATGGGAAAAGCCTTTACTGACTCTGTTTCTGAAGTCAGACTGAAGAGGAAGGGAATTGGAAGGAAGGTGATTACAGGTTCAATAGTTTTGGGGCTGACAGAGGTAATTTTTCTTTTAAATTATTTCAGGTAAACTGGTAAAGTTTGTGTAAAAGGGAAGCTCAGTCACCAAGTTGGAGAAGATACTAGTTTATGTTAAAGAGCAGAAGAAAAAAAACCACTTTAAGCATATATCGCTTTTAAAAATTTCATGGTCATTTCAGACATCACATCCAGGTTTGCTTATTCCATGCTAAAAAGGAACTGTAAGAGGCTTTCGGCCTGGGGAATAGGAGAATGTGTAAGGAAGCTTTTGTATTAGCAGTGAGACTAAGGATTAAATCTTCTTTGCTGAAAGAAGAGATGAATAGATTCAATAACAGTTTCTTTCAGGTTAGTATTTAGTGATGTGCATACAGACAAGTTCTTTTACTGAAGATGTGCGCAGGACTCCTCCTGGAACAGCTTACGGGACCAGCATGGAGTGCCAACAGTGTTGTGCTAGAGCTCCTGTTACCTTTTCCTCTTGTAAAAGAATATTGAAACATTAAATAAATTGCAGTTAAGAACGGTTTTGGAATAAGTTTCTAAATATTGCATTCATACTAACCCTTGGGAAATGCCATGTCATGTATTAGTGAGGTCAAGTATGGGGAGTAATGAAGATGACTTTCATGGGCAGTTGCTGCTTATACCAGTTAAGGTTAGAAAATTAAGTGTTCCACGTGTTGTTTGGTGTAAGACAGTTGACTGACTGCTGGAGATTGAATATAAATTTCTTTCTAATCAGAATACTGCTCAATGCGGGGGATTTACACCTTCCTTTGGAGCATCTGGTACTGGCTCCTGGCCAGCATGCCAGGGTAGATGAGCCAGAGATGTGATGCAGCATATCAGTTATCGTATTTTTAAAGCTGCGTGCTTCAGATTGCCAGGAGAAACAGAGGGGGAAGGACTGTGACTATAACCCGTTGCATCCTATGAGTGTGTTAATGAGCAAAATAGTTGAAGAGAAGGGTACTGAATCTGTGTTTTCAGTTGTCTTTGTGGATTCTCACCCAACTTAACGCCTACCTGAAAGAGCGGTGCTTGGGCATCTGTGCTGAACTGAAGTATACACATGCTATTCTGACTTGCCTTATGCAAAACTGATTTTGAATTAGAAGGTGATGTGTTGAAGCAGCTGATCTCTGTCTATGTAGTAGCATCCAGCAGGGGTAAAGTCAGGGAAATATTTTTAGTATAAAAACAAATACATAATTAGTTACGAGGGAAGCAGTGATTGCTTAAATAAATTTGTCTGTAACTATTTGCACTTAAATACCTTGTATTTCCCTGTTTTCATCAGTGCCAGCTCTATCTTTGAGATGCAGAAACTTTGGGTAGAATGGGATTATTAGAGCTGTGTGTGAAAGTCCATTGCAGCATGTCTGTAACTTTTGTTTCTGGCCTTTGTAGGACACCTGTGGGTAGAGGAAGAGCTTGGCTTCGCCTGGCCCTAATGCAGAAGAAACTTTCAGAATACATGAAAGCCCTGATTAATAGAAAGGATCTTCTCAGGTGAGTGTTGAGCTTGCTTTTGGATTAGGTTAGGTTCACTTGGCTCTCTTGTAAGACCTTTACGATCTTTTACACCCAAATGGTAAAGTATGTGTGTACTTTTTTTTGAGAAATAGTAATATCTATGAAATGCAGAGCTTCCTCTGAGGGCTTAAAAGTGCTTAGTATTCTTTCTTAATTCAGAAGCTGTTATTTCTCTGCTTTGTCTCAAATATCCATTAGAATAAACACAAATTTAGGTTCTGAAGAGATGATTTGGGTGAAATACTTGTACAGAGGGGATACAACATTCTCTGTCTGCAAGATCTTGGCCCTGAAATTATTTCTGACCTTGTCACTTTATTACCATCTGATTTGGAACAAGTAATTTCATTTCTCTGTATTTCTGCTTCCCAGTCATAAAACAGCAATAATTTTCTAGCTTCACTGAAAGTCCATGGGTTTGAACTGCTATGTCTGTGTAAAGCAGTAGGATTTAATAAATATGTTGGAGTTTCCTTACTCAAACAAGTAGGTTTCTCTTAGCTGTATGGGTAAATCCATAGCTGACTTGCGGTTAGAAAGGAGAACTTGGTATTGTCCACTGGAAAATGTGGCAGTGGCTTGTGTTAGTAACTGTATGTAAGAGAGTAGTAGAAGTATGCTACTTAAGAAACTCTGATATTAAGCCCCCGTCTTAAATCTTCAGTGTGCTGTACCGTTACTCAAGAATCGTGCTTACTTTCCATCACCTTTCAACAGTGAGGGACCAGGTCTCCTATCTATTGGGTCTTTGCCTCACCTAAAGACTTTCTGTGCTAAGAGACATGTGTTCAGTCAGAGCAGGAGTACATTGATAGTACGTAGGAGTACATTTTGGTGTGGACTACGTGCCGCTGCCTAGGTTTTTGTTAAGGCTGAGCTTGCGTTATATTGACGTATGAAATAGCAGGGATGCCATGCTAGTTGATATCGTTTTAGTTGATCTTTAAAGGTGCAACACTTGTTTTCTTTTGCCGTGCAGTGAATTTTATGAGCCTAATGCACTGATGATGGAAGAAGAAGGTGCAATCATTGCTGGCCTCCTAGTAGGTTTGAATGTCATCGATGCAAACTTCTGCATGAAAGGAGAAGACCTGGACTCGCAGGTACTGGGTATTCAGTTAATGGTTTTTTTCTGCTCATTTAAATTGGAAGAATTTTCCATTGTAGAGGACTTTCATCAACTGAGATAGAAGTTTGTTACTATATGTAATAGAAGACTAATATAAGCTTGTGAATAATGATTGTGGTCTTCGGTTAGCTGGCGGCACTGAGATCAGAGACTCAGGATTTTGGGTTTCTCTTTGCTGTTACGCTTTGCTGTGGTCTGCAGGCAGATCACTGCAGAGTGAAACGTGGTAAATGAAAAAGGAGGTGAAAAGGGGGAAGGACTTAGCCAAAACGAGGGGAGAAATGGACAGAACTGTTAATTCACTCACGCTGTGTGATGAGATCATTGTGGCTGTTAAACAACAGAAAATGAGCCCGTATGCACTTATGTTCCAGCTTGCATAAGCAGTGTATATGCAGATAAGGTGATGGTAATGTTTTGTCCTTATGTCCTAAGACTAGCTTGCCAACTTGCTGCTTCTCCTAGTATATTTTTTCTTGAAATACACCATGTTTTCATTAATTTTGGGTAGATTACTGGTATAATAAATCCTTGCTATAATATCACATTTACTCATGTTCTAACTGCATGACTCTCAACTTTCACAGCTGTGGACAGTGTTTAGTCTTAGAAAAAGTATGTAATGTAAAATGCAAATTTTTCTTTTCTAGGTTGGAGTTATTGATTTCTCAATGTATTTGAAAGATGGGAACAGCACAAAAGGCAGTGAAGGGTAGGTACACGCAGAATTGTCCTGCTTCTTACCTTTTGGTAACTTGTATTCAAGTATTCCCGGTTGCCCTGCAAGCTGTTACGTTTTTAATTAAAAAGCTACTTAGACTGAATTGCTCTTCTATGATCAACCGTAATCTATAAATAAGGTACTAGAAATGTTCAGAGGGGGCAGGGGAAGGGGAAAGTCTCCCAGAAATTCTGTGTGTTCTTCCTTAACTGGCAACTGAAGATAAAAATATTTTAAAAGGGACCCTCTGCTGAGTTAGGTCTGCCATTCTTTAAAGCCTTTTCGGTATGCAGCTTAGTAGCCTTCACCAGTTGTATGGCTAGCAGGATAGTCGTTGATTTTTGGCACCATAACATCCTTTGGAAAAAAAAAATCTCCAACTGGAAAAGATCATAAATGTAATAATAGCCTAAAGTACTTGTGCCAGCATACACAAACAGAGCTGTGCAACATTCAGAGCAAGTGGTTGAAAAATAGTGTGGATGCACTGACACATGGATCAGGTGTTATGGTTTTCTGAGGTTCTTCAAGAGTACTTCTTCTAAGGAATTCCTGCTAGTTTGAATTCAGATAAATATTTAATAATTATCCCTCATGATCAGGTGTTTTGATCGCATGTATTTTATCTATAGTTTCCTTTTTGGAACATGAACATTCTTTTCTTCAGTTAAGATTTCCTGCTGCAAGTGCATGCAAAACATGCTTTTATTGACAGTTTTCCTTGAACGGATTTTGGTGAGATGACTCTTGTCCAATATAAACGTAGTGCAAAACCAGTTTTTTTTCTTTGAAATACTGCTGTACTCTTTGAAATGTTGTCTGCCTTAATCGTTCTGTTTTGTGTGTCACAAAATGCCTGAAAGCCATCCAGGTAACTGTGGCGGTTGCAGCTTCTGGGAAGTCAGGGGACAGTGACTGGTTATGAAGGCATAGACTGTAACTCAGCTTTACTATTTCATGTATATCACATGGACTCATGGAGACCTAGGGTATTGGTCCGATGCTGGATATGCAGGCTCTATCGCCACGTTTCCTCTTAGACCTTCAATGGTGTCTTTTAGTTCTCTGAATCCAAATGGTTGAGCTGAATGATACTTCTTTTTTCCAGAGATGGTCAGATAACTGCTATTTTGGACCAGAAGAACTATGTAGAAGAACTCAATAGACATTTAAGGTAAGACATGATTTATTTATTCTTTATTATATAGTGCGACAAAATAGAAAACAGGGTTTTAAAAAAGAAGGAATTACTGTAGGGTTTTTTCTCTCCAACAGTGCTACAGTAAACAACCTACAGGCCAAGGTGGATGCCTTAGAAAAATCCAACACTAAACTGACTGAGGAGGTAAGTGTAACAGAAAATCATCTGATGTTTTGGCCTTTTGGATTAAAAAGGAAAGAGAGAAGTTATTTTCAGATTTCGGCTGTACGTAATGATGAGTGTTTAACAGTGGAACTGGAAGAACTGACCTGCCAAGGAATTACGCTGGCTGTTGCTACTAACTAAGCATGAGGTGGAAGAACAACCAAATATTTACGTTAAAAACCAAAAACTGCTGAATACGCTTTACCCCTCTGAAGTCTTTGAGTGCTTTCTGATTTTTGGAAAATGTCTTACAATAAATTGTACAGTGAGTGTGGTTTCGAATGCCGTACACCTGAGGTAGGTTACAAGTTGTCCAGACGTGACAAAGAAATTTTTAAATGTCTGTTTATTTTGGCAGGTGCAGGCGTTTACTGCTGTGTAAAGATAGCAATTGAAGTGTTTCAATAACTTTTTCTCTAGCCTGTCACAATTTGCAAGAAATGAAGGAAAAATTATTATTATAGATAAAACATTCAGACTGAGCATGAAAAATGGTTGGTACACGAGTCATAGTTGTGATCTGTGTTTTAAAATTGGTCTTGCCGTTCATTAGTAATGGCATAAATGTAATAAAATCTTCTGGGGTCAGTTCCCTGACAAATGGGCGATAGTAGGTCTCATCCTACCAGTTTTACAGTATCTCTGTCCACATGTCACTTAGCTCAGCAGAATGATTTGGATTGGCATGTCTCAGTGCTCCTGCAGTATAAATATGAAATAGAAATTCTCTTTTGCTTGTTCACCCTCATTAAAGGAGGTCTGTGTGTCTAGTTATTGAACATTTACTCTAATGAATGTATTCCAAATGATGAGAAGCTTTAGCGATGGAGATTAGTGTATCTACTCTTGCAATTAAGGAGTAAGAAAAGTTTTTTATAATGAAAATATTTTTTTAATTTCAAAAAGGTGGTCTGCAGTAGAGGCTGCCTTTCTCAGTGCTACTATAATAAGTGGCTGTTGATTTATTACCTGCAGAGTATCAGTGCTGTGCCCATTAGGCGTGGTACCCATGAGATCAATTGCAATGTTGACTGAAGTATTTTTTATTTTATAACTTACTTGCTTGTATCTTAGTGAAGTCTGCATGCTGTTCAAAGTAAGAATTTAAGTGATGCTGGAACATGCTGTGCCAACTAGTGCTATTTGCAGGACGTAGCTAATGAACTGTGTCACATGTCACAACAATTTGTGTGTTTGGCTTGAGCTGTACCAAAGAGTCACACTTCTATCAGGGCCATTTCTATTTAGGTTTCTCACTTAATAACATTGCTGATCTCTTGGAATGTCACTGAACTTTTCTTGTGTGCAAGGCTTACGTAAATTATAATTTAAAAAGCCGGAAGGAGTTTTGGCCTTTGACCGTACACTCCAAGTAATCTGTTAGCCTGCGGTGATGTCTTGTTGGGAGTTCCTCTGAGGCAAATGTCCTGTCTTGTAAGGGTGGTGTGTGCTACTGATTCTCTGTTTCCAGCCAAATCTTTCTTCTCTGATGAGTTCTCATCGTACTTGTCCTGCCCAAATGGTTGAGCATCTTACAGCTTGGATGCTCTGCCTAGCACTGTACCCAAACTACTGAAGCTTTAGCAAACATAAGCAAGTATTCCTTCTCTGGTAATATATTTCAGTTGCTAGAAGTCAACAAAACTTAGCTGCCATGCATGTGCTCACATCTTTCCTTTTTGTTATCTTTGGCAAGGGAAGGGGAATGCAGCGAGAACTTCTGCTGAGTTGCGATAACCGCATGTTACACTGAGTCTAGCAGGTAGAGACCTGAAGAGGTCAATAACTTTCCTGAGAGACCGGAACCAAAATAGGTTGGGAAGCCTGTTTTAGCCGATATTGGAAATCCATCACACTGGCACTAATTGATGCTTTTTCAGATAGTCTTTCTTCATAGTAGAGGCTGAGTTGTATTTGCCACTCCAAATATTTTTCTTTCTCACTTTGAGTGTAAAAAAAAAAAAAAAGTCTTTTTCAGAAAATGTGTCTAGAGAGGAAAGAAAAGGTCAAGTAAGTTTCTGTTGTGTTACTGTTGTTCTGTTTTGTTCATAGCTTGCAGTTGCAAACAACAGGATTATTACACTGCAAGAAGAGATGGAACGGGTTAAAGAAGAAAGCTCTTACATCTTAGAGTCCAATCGTAAGGTTGGTGTGTGTGTCTGAATGATGACTGAACCTTTTGGGCCGTCCCAGCCCACATTCAACCAAGAAGTCCGTGTTTGAGAGACTTTATTTCCTTATGTATCTCCCACAAAAACTGCCGTAGAGAAGAGTGACTCCAGGTGGGTCCTCTGCATTGGGTAGCAGATGGACCTTGGCCGCAGTAAATCCTGCCTGGCCGTAGCCGATTAAACTGCGAGTGTGCGCAGAGCCAAGAGCTAACGCAGCGTGTTGTTGGCTTGCGGGGTGGAGGTGTCAGAAGGGACCGGAGGAAGGGAAGGATGATTTACTGAGAGGGTGGCAGAAAAATATGGATGTAGGAGCTCTGCTTTTTTGGCCCGAAATGCTATCCTTTTCGGAAATCAAAGGGCAGGATCTATAATATTTTTTCATTGATTTACTGAAAGTGCTAGGAACTATGGCAGAATCTGGTTTTACTTTTAAAACCCATGAGATCTTTTTCTGAGGCTTTGTAACCTTACTTAGTATATTGTGAAAGTTCTGAAAACAGACAGTCTGCCCATTTAATTCATATCCATTAAAGTGCACCAAGCACTTGGGGAAACAGGGAAATAGAGCCATTTCACATGGAAGCTGCATGCTGCATTAACTGAATGGAGCTCTGCATTTTGATAGTTGCGGAGTTTGTTTTTGAAGTTGTGGGAAAAGGAAATAATCAGCAAATGTGAGGGTTAGTAGTATATAATGACAAGTTCATTGGGTGTCTTCATTACCTTAGGTCACTAAAGACAGAACTGCTGATGGACATGCACTGACTGAGGCACGAAAACAGTTAAAGGAGGAGACTCAGCTGCGGCTGGTAAGGACTGCATGAGCTTGGAGTTCACTGCAAATGGCTTTTTCACATAGTAACTCCATGTCAGTCAATCATTTCTGAAAATATTTGGCCGGGGGATTTTTTTTTTGTTCTTGCCTGCCTGCTACAGCCTGATCTGAGACAGTCTTGTCAGAAGCGATGTTAATTTTGTGGCCCTATTGATAAGTTTGAGGTCTGATTCTCAAAATGAGCGGCACACTTGCATTTCTAGGTCTGACGTGGTCCCCATGCAGATAATGCCATTGCCACTTTCTGAGTATTACTCAATATAGTGTGTTCAGCTGGTGCCTGAGCAGAATGCGTGTAAGAAATAAAGTCTGCCAGCTTTTCACTAGTCTCCTCCATCGGAAAGATGGGCCTATATAGTACTTTCTGACTCTTTGCTGGTAATGCTGTTTACGTTGCTTTAATATTGGACTGAAGACGTGGATTTGTTGTCCTTCATTGTCTTTGATGGGTCAGATCTGTAACTGTGACGCTGTGGCAATGCAGCACACTTCTAGGTAGTGACTGCATTGGCAGGAGCACCAGTTAAGGGTGGTTATCTTGCGGATGGTGAGGAGAGCTGGCTGGTAATGCTGACTGATCCATACGTTCCAGGATGTGGAGAAAGAGCTGGAGGTGCAGATCGGGATGCGACAGGAGATGGAGCTAGCCATGAAGATGCTGGAGAAAGATGTTTGCGAGAAGCAGGATGCATTGGTGGCACTCAGACAGCAACTGGACGATCTCAGGGCCCTAAAGCATGAACTGTCTTTCAAGCTGCAGGTAGGGAAATAATTAAACCAAATGCAGTGAATTCCAGATAAAAGTGATAGCTCTTGTTTTCCCCTACCTATTTAAAAGGTGCTAGGTGTGGAAGGGTTACAGGCTGTATAGCATACTTCTGTCTCGCTGCAAGAAAGCTGTAGTACTTCAACAATTGAATGTGGTGGAAGTTAAAGGAAAATGCAGTTTCTTCTGAAGAAAGACTCATGATACAGAAATATATGTGCTTGACTGGGGAAAGCATCTTCTGTGTTCTTGTGGTATAAAAACTGAGCAATGGTAGCTTCTGTTCCAGTACCATCTAGTATTTGAAGGCATATAGTGTAAATAAATCCATTACTGTGTGATGACAAAAGCGGACTCTTAAGACAGAGCAACACAAAAAGATCAGAAAGAAATCCTGAAATAAATTTTAGAACTGCGGAGAGTTGCTTCTGCTCTCCTTGAGCCAGTCATTCTGTGCACAACAGTCAAAGGATATTAGCAGGTACTGCATTAATGTGTGTTATACAGGAAGCTTCATTGATTATGGTATTACTCTTTTGTGGGGTCCAGATGTAGCCTACACCTGTATGGCAAGATGTTTGTCCTTGCAATATTCACCTGGCATTTGTTTTTGAGCACCTTCTCCTTCCGCTTTGGCTTCTGCCCCTTTCATTTCATGTGCCACATGGTTTAGCGTGGGTTATTTTGGTTTTACTGCTACTTACAAGAAAACACGGTGCTACTTTTTCCAGAGTTCAGACATGGGAGTGAAACAGAAGAGTGAATTAAACAGCCGTTTGGAAGAAAAAACAAATCAGATGGCTGCCACCATCAAACAGCTTGAACAAAGGTAAAAAATGAAACTTTTGCAATTATAAAATCCTGTGTGTATTTTAGCGGTAGTGTCCCGCTGACCCTGAATGGACCAGGCAAGAGTCCGAGTGCTCTGCTTAGCCATGCTAAACGGAGCTGCATGAGGAGAGCTACAGTTTTTGAGATGCTGTTAGGAGAAGTGTTTTGCATGCTCAGGAGGGCTTCCATGAGAAAAGAATATACTGCTAAACCAGTAACTAATATAGCAGCTTTGTTTATCTATATCAGCTGCACTTTTGTATGTTATCCACTCGTTACAAGTTAATCGCTATTTCTGATAGCACTGATAAAAAATAGAAATACAAACTAAGAGAAGTGCTTGACTGCTAATGACAGTATTACAGTGGGAGCAGGAAGGACAAGCGTGCAGCAGAGGCCAGGCTCAGAGCTTCTTGGTTATTCCAGATCTCTCTGGTACTGTTTTGAAAAAAATACCCCAAGTCAAACCATTCTCTTTATGAACAGCCTTGTACTTTCTGAGGGAGATGAACTTGAAAAAAAAATCCTCACGTGAAAGTAAACGGAGGAAGCCTGGAGGGCAGCTAGAAGTTGATAAAGATAGCCCATAGGTATAATATTCATTCGGACTGGGACAAGTTCCATCCTAATGACCGTGTTGCTCTCATGTTACTAACCCTCATGAAATTCGGAGGGCCTCAGCATCAAAGTCAGATTGATTTGAGAAGGAGCAGTGCTCCTTTTTCCCTTCAGTCTTGTTCTCGGAGCCAGGCCTTGTGGTGGTTTGGCCAAAGGTTCAGAACTTCAATCTCTGCGAATTGCCTCGACTGTCGCGCTAGCTCCGAGAAGATCAGGGGAAAGAATAGCTCTCACCAACGTGTCTGGGACTTATTTAATGAGTGGGTTGATGCACTAAGTTAACGCTTTCGTTTTAGGGTTTATGTTCTGAATGTTTCTTTATAAAAAAGGTCATTTTGTTCATGGAAAATTTGTATTTTAAAATGTTTTATGATATATACTCAGCTAATTGATTTGCTCTTTTTCTCTTGCTGTTCTTGTTTTTCCATTTTCTCATTATCCTCATTCTGACTTACTTATACAGTGAAAAGGATTTGGTGAAACAGGCAAAAACCTTAAATAGTGCAGCAAACAAACTGATCCAGAAGCATCATTAGACATTTTTATGTCTGGTCACCTCACAGCTCTGACATCAGAACTCATTTATGAGGGGAGAACTTGCAAATTGCTAAAAGCAACTGTTAAAATGTTAATTGTCACCTAAAGTTGATTTGGAATTTGCTGAATTTTTAAAATCAGTGAGTTTTTCTTCAGAGATTTAGAGTCGGGTATAAAAATCCCTAACTTTGCCATTTAAACTGTGTTAAAGTACCAATGAGTTGGCCAATAAACACACCAGAAAAGCATAAGGAATGGGAGATATGTGGCTCTGTACATCCCGGTGATGCATACCGTATACAGCAGCACAAGTCTTCAACATGCATGGATACTAGGCGCGTTGGTCAAGCCAATTATCAGATTGGCCAGCTCTGGAAAGTCAACTAGTTTTCTGTGTTACCCTTTTTGTGAAGTAGGCGAAAAAATGCATCCCTGGAAGTTGTTGAAAGTAGTTGTGTGTGTACCCCAAGCCGTTACCCGTTCACTTCTGTTCTGTGGGTTCAGCCCCAAGTCCAAGACAAACGGGCGCGACTCGATAGCTCATCACCGTGAAGACCAGCCCTCTTGTAACCGAGACTGCTTGCAACGATTTTGCCTTAGTGACTTGGTGGGAGGGTGGGGACTTATCCTTATTCCTTTAAACTTCATGTGTCCAGAATTAGTAGCTAGGTGTCTTAGAGTAACATGATAGAGTGGTAAGTTCAGTGGAAACCTCCTTATCTTTGCATTGCCTTCTACCTCTGCCATGAACCCCTCTAGACGTACGTTGCGGTTCTTCCCGGCCGAAGGAAGCTGAGGAGAGGTGTTTTGGTAGGTCTCTCCTCTTCCTAGAAAGGGAAGTTACACGTTTTACAAAAAATAATCTGATCTTTATACTCTAGTGTTTAAAAGAAACAAAAACGGAATAAAAAAAGAAAAAAAAGAACAAAATCTGCAGTGGTGGGGAGTGGAAATGGTAATTTGGTATTTGACCATTCCTTGTTTGAGTAGTTAGTGGTTTAACAGGAAGAGTTGCCTTTTACCATTACACTTCTTTTATTTGCTTCTGAGTTTCTGTTGCTCAATACAAATGGAATTTGCTAATGAAAGAACAGCTAAAGCTTGGAAACAGCTCTCAATAGGAAAAATAATTGCCAATTTAACACCCCAGTGCAAAACTTCAAGTAACTGTAGCCTGGACTATTACAAACTAATATCCTCTTCCCTGTGGCCGCAGAAATTCACCCTGCTGGCCTGTCGCAGGCTTTAGGTTATAAATGCTCCTAAAGATTATTTTTTCCCAAGATGATCACATTTGGGGGTTTCCTGTGCTGAATAAGGGGTTTTTTGCTCTGGTGAGATGCCTGTAAAAATTCTTTGGTGCCAGCTCTCCCTTTGTCCTGTGGGATAGTGCTCCTTGGGGCAGCGGGCAGCAAATGTGACTGAATCGCAACTGGGGAAAGAACACCTATTGATTCTCACTAGGTACATATAAAAATGCGTGAGGCTCAGCCTAGTCCTTTTGTACACAGGCGTGTACCACTGCTTAGCTTGTTTAATGGACTCCCGCACACAAGCAGACTTGGAGACCTGTTTTAAATCTCTACATGATGCCCAAGTCGCACGCTTGAAAGTATAAACTTAACCTTCAGTAACCTTTTACTAGAAACTCATTTTAACTACGTGGAGAAAAATAAAATAATAATAAAAAGGTGGAAGCTTTCATCAAGGCATCTAAACAGCTAATTAGAGCAGTGAACTCCCCTGTCCTCCCCAGATTTCTTCTGTAGAAATAGGGGGTTGGGCTGGTTTTGTTTGCTGTCACAGCAACGCTAAAATATGACAGAATTAAGGATCTGGCCATTTCTGATGTCAGGCCCAAAGTGGAAATGCTTTGGTGTACTAATGCCTGGGCGCTTGAGCCGATGTGTCAGTCCGTGGAAGAGACCAGGAAGATGCACTAATTCTCAATATAGTAGCTAACCTATGTTGCAAGTTCCAGTTACATGTGTAAAGCTGAAATGTAACGTAAATTAAAATCAAATTTGACTTAAAATTCTGTGTACTTGAGGTTTGCTTTGAATCTGGATAAAAGTGATGTTTTATGTTTTTCATCTAATGGCTGTAAACTGTAGTAATAGAATAAAAACTATTGAAAATCAGAGCTTCTGCCTGGTTCACCTACATTTTGCTTTTCTTTAAAATATTTTCCTCCTTTCCATTGTTTTTACCATTCCTTTTTTTGGCTTTACCTTTTCACTGGGCTTTTTATTTGTTGGTTAAACTCGGTCTTCCTCCCCACCATGGCTTTTGTTTTTTATCACAAGTTCATGTGGCTCAAATCCAGATTGCGACAGGCAGAGAAGGACCGTCAGTTGGCCCAGCAGGACAACCGTCTCTTCAAGCAGGAGTTTGGGGACAAAATCAACAGCCTCCAGCTAGAAGTGGAAGAGCTCTCCAGGCAGCGGTGAAGAGATCCTTTTCTAATTTATTTTCTGGGCTGTTCTTACTGTGTCTAGTAGAAAGCAGGCAGGGCGATGGCAAAAGGAGGTAGGGGGTTGGAGGTGGAGAGAGACAAGTGGCGTGTTAGGTGCCAGGCAGGCATTAACTCTGGGGAGGTGAAATGCTTTGTCACATGGCAAATCTTTTAACAATGCATGTCTTCTTAAAGTTACAACTTGAAAATCTGGATTGGAAGAAAATGCAAAAGAGCTACGTGGTCAGCGGAAACCACCAGCAAAAGTACCAATCTTATGTGGCGGTGGAATACCAGAAGCAGGCAGCAGAATAACTTGGGTGAAAATGAAATGTCAGGATATTTTTCTGAACATGGAAATGCCCGTGGGGGCTTTCTGCGCTGCGGTTAGGTTTATTGGGCATCTGCCGATAATCGTCTCGTTTGAAAATGGGTAGTGCTGGAGATGCAGGAGGACAGGGATCACCATAAGCTGCAAAACTTGTTTGGGACGCTGGATGGATCCTCAGTCTGCACTGAGGTCGTGTTGCAGGTTAGCCTGCTCTAGGGAATGAGAGTTAGCTGGATGTGTGCTTCAGAGCGCAGTCAGGTCTCTGACGGCAACGCCAACCTCTCCAAAGGCTAGCATTGCATCGGACTTTCCACTGTAATAGCATCGTTTGGAATCTAAAGCTAACGCTAAAAGCAGACAATTTGCTGCTCATCGGCAGGGATGTAGCAGCTAAGTCTTTGCCTAGAGTTAACGCTGAAGAGTGTGGAGCAAGGGAAGCAATCCTGGTTGTCAGTCTGGCAACTAGTGCTATGAGTTGTTTCTTTTTTTTTTTTCCTCACTTGAAACTGGTCTGAGTTTTGCTGGGAGGCGACCAAAAAGTTGGAAGCCAAATGTAGAGAACTTGGTGAGAGCTATCATATTTTCCTCTGCAGTGTCATCAGTTTACCAGTATCAGGAAAACAGAGAAATCCTCTTATCTTAAAATAGAAGAGCATCTCTCCTGCAGCCGTGACGCATCCTTGGTTTGTTGCAAGGTCACTGAGATGTAATTGTGTGGAAGCATTGCTGGATGCTTTTTTTTTTTTTTTTTTAATTCTGTCCCCTCCTCCCCTCCTGGCACAGCTTTTCATTTCCTTTTTCAAAAAGTTGCAGAGGCTACCCAGAAAACCAGCAAATGGCTTTTATGAGAAATTTGTGCGAGGTCCTGGGTGTGCATGGGTGAGCTTAGCAGTGTTCTTGGGTATAAAGGGGGAATGCAGCTTCTCTGCATATGCACCTTACACTGAGTCAGTTTAACTTAGTGTAGCTACCTGGGTAGGACATTTGCAAATTGGTCTATTTTTGCATCAGTTGGACTTTATCTGATTCCTTTGTCGCTCAAGGTAAATAGAGATGACAGTGTGAAAATGATTGAATCTCCTTTACCGGGAGGCTGTACTGCTTTATTTAACTGAGTTTCTCAAGGAGTGAGTTATTGGTGGGTGCTGCAGTGAGTGGTGGGTAGTCTTGCTTGAATTATATTCCTTTAAGAGGAGACACGGCTTTTTGTGTTCATGGGCGTGTCGGCTTTAAATCCAGTTACAAACAAAAATTCCCTCACTTGGTTTGTTTTTAAATGTCAACATGGGCAAGTATTAATTTCTAGATCTAAGACTCTACCAGCTTTACTCACTTCAGTTAGGCTATGTAGTTAACGAGGCTGTAGCCATAACGAGTTATTTAAAAAACTGTTGGAGCGGTGTGGAGACTAACAAGGTAATAATGGATAATGGCAGGTTTAATAGCAGTGAGGATTCTGAACGTTTTATGTACATAAAGTACATAAGTACTTTACCAAGTACAAGTCTTGCCACTACTTTTACCGGGAGGTATGTGGTTTCTAGGCTTTGATTTTGGGGCAGGGGTCGTTCCCTACGGCAGCTACCGTATTTTACCCTTAATGCTTTCAGAAGACGGCGTTTCTAGTGCTTCAGTCCCTGACGGTCCGCGTGCCCCAAGAGCTTTGTTGCTGTCGTGCGCAGGCACGCTGCAGTCATGGAGGCGTTGAGCTTTCTGGTGGCCCAGAGCAAAGGCTCTGTGACCCGCAGCTAGATTTAGAGCCGTGCTTCTCTTCAGCCTGCTTCGGGCTGCGTCAGGGACCTCAGATGTGCTTGTTCATCTGTCTTTGACCTGCTGATTAGTAGTCCTCCCAAATATGAATGTGCTGCGCTCAGCCACGTCTTTGTTCCCTCCGGCTCGATGTACCGCAGCACGTGCCGTGCGGGGCTGACACAAAACCCTAAACCGTGGTGCTGGTGCGGATCAGCGGCCCGACTGCTTAGCAGTCTTGAAGGAGCACGTGCCATCCCTTCGTTACAGGTTAGGCTAGACCAGGGAGTTGATCGCAGTCCGTAAAACAGCATATGCGTCCTGTTTTCAGCCCACCGGGCTCGCCTCGCCTGCCCAAGCCCGCATCCTGACCTGCTGATGTGCTGTCGCTCAGCCAGCATCAGCAGCAGGGCAGGCTGCAGAGTACTCCCGGCGAGGAGCCCTTGGTTGCTTCGCAAGGGCCAAGCCCCGCTTTCAGGTGAGGTGTCAGAAGAATTGCTGCAGCTCTCGGGGAGGAGCGGTCCCATCCATCCTGTGTGGATGGCTTTGGGAGGTGGTCAAGGACGTCGGCTTTGGTTTCACAGCCTGTCCTGTAGCAGTTGATGTGCTGAAGAATAATGTCTTTTTGAACAGGGCGCTAATCCACAGTTCTGTATTAGATGAATAATGAAGTATTTTTTAAGGACTTGCAGGCGTAGTCAACAGGTTTATTTCCTCCAAAATCATGCTAGAATTAGATGAAGAACTTAGAGATTTTTCCATCCTGACACATTATGGCTTAACACCCTGCGAGACAACTTTTTATTCAAAGAAGCGGTTTGCAGCTCTTGAGTTGGGATTCAATTGCTTTAGTGTAAAGAGAGGGTTAAATAGTTCATTAGCTCTCCATGTCAAGTGTTAAGGAAACCATAGCCTTTTTTCACAATTCCACCTCGATGTTCTAGGAGCCACCTTGAACTAGAACTCAAGCGGGAAAGAGACAGATGGTCACACAGTCACCAACGCAGCCAAGAAAACAAGAAAGGTGCAAAGAATTGGCTAAGACAGGTAACACGACTTTTATTCTTGGCTTGCGTTTGAAGTATAGTTTCATTTTGCTCGTTTGCTTTTCCTGAGCTTTATTAGGCAATAAATATATATTGTTAACGTGCCCCAACAAAATGAGCTTTGGAACTTCTTTTACACATGCGAAATAGGCAGTTTATTGAGTTGAGCCTTACAAAAATATTGCAGGTGTTACACTTCATTGCAGAACACTGGTTTCCTCTTCCAAGCTGGGTGCCTGACAAAATCTTGACTGTGACTGTGGTTTTCCTTTACTAGTTTAATAAAACCAAATGTAATACAGCAGGAGAGATGCTGTACATGTTTGCTTATGAAAAGCAAACTTGCTCGTTTTTATTTTTTGCATCATAATAAGGGAAATTTTCCCAAAAGAGGTAAATAGTAAAACTTTGAAGACAAAATAATCTCTCAACAGCATCACAAATCACTTTCAGTGCTCTTCTAGTGCTGCGCATCAGTGAATTCAGTGTTTTTTCAAGTAAAGAGCAGCATTCATCCTGAGAGTCAAACTTGTAGCCCCCGAGTGAAACTCCCTTTTTAGCAGTAAATTTGCCTTTGAAAGTGAAAATCTGCTCTGCAGCTTTTTCTGTATAACGAAACCCGCTCTTTTGCTAGGAACTGGCAGTAAAACAGTTGCTTTGGAGAACAAAACTTGTAACTGAGAGCTGTGAAGTAAGAGAAGTTGTTTCCACAGTTCTCATGTGTGCTGCTGCACTTGAGAGTGGCCTTTGCTGGGCTGCCCTGGGCTGCTTGAACGGTTCAATTTTTTCTTTTTTTTTTTTTAACCAATATTACACCTAATTTCAGTGAAGTTATTTACACATCATGAGTCATTTGTCAAAAAGTCACATTTGCTGTAGCAGAACAGCTACAATCCCATAGAAGGAATTGGGAACTAAGTGCGACGCAGTTGGCCAGTTAAAAATGAGAACGAGAAACCCCCAAACCCAAAACTGGTTAGTCTGATGTTTAAAGCAAAAGTTGGTTAGCTCTCTGGAAGGCAGAATAGCTGCTTAGTTTGACAGCCTGTCCCTGGGTTTGAGACCAGGTTACTGTGTGGGGTTATCCTCCTTTACTTCGTAGGCGAGCGCTGTGACATGAGTGGGGCAGTAGGAACAAATGGGCCAACGTGCAAAAGAGCGATTTCAGAATGGACTTTTCTTTTGCCACAAAACTTGTAGGTGGTGCTTGATCCAGTGGAAGTTTGCATTTGCAGAAATTTTAAGAGCTCCGCTGAGATGGTAGTCGCAACTCGAGAGCAATGCACGCATGGGTGATTCTGCCAGCACTTACCACGCAGGCGGGAGGCTGGGTTTTGACAGTTGTGTTTCAGCGTGGCATTACGCACATTTATGTCTCACGCTACGACCTGGGTCTTAGCTGGGGAGGAGGGGAGGATTTGTTTCCTTTCTTAGCTGAGCGGATTTGTCTCACTGATCAGTCTTTAAAAAGCTTATTCAGCCCGTCTACCTTTTCAATCTCTGCTGTTAAAATAAAAAAGGGTGACTGTGAAGTTTCTTGTACCTTCTAGTAAAAGGAGGTTGTTGGACATGTTTAAGAGTCCATCTCTAAAATGTGGCATCAATTTTTTGTTCACAGCAAAAGGAAAGCATGTAGAGCTGCTCCTGGGGTGGGCTGCTGTTTATATGCTTTCACGTGTCCAAATACACCTCTGTACCAAGGAGGTGCAGATCAGTATTCCTGAAATAGCAATGTAAAGTCTTCCTTGGCAGTGTGGCAGGGGTGAAACTGGAGTCTTCATATAGTTTGACTGATGGGTAAATGTTTCCTTTTGGCAGGATGGGAAGCTCAAAATCCAGGAAGAAAAAGCTAAAGTGAAACAGCCACTAAGAGCGGAGAACAGTGTCCTGCCACACAAGTACGGAAGAAAAGAAATCTCATTTTTTGCCTTCTTTTCTAAGTCCTGCTTCCCCTTCTCTAATTTCTTGGCTGACGGGAAGTTTGGAATGGTGCAACTTTCCTTTCTAGAAAGATTTTCAACCTCGTGCCCTTTGTTGAGGTCTCTTTGCTGCTTTTTCATAGCTCTTAAAGGGAAGAAGGAGGTTCTACTGCTTGCCACCAGTGTTTCTGGATCTAAAAAGCTCTCTCTGTCCCCCCCCCCATTTACCTTTGAATGTGTTTCTATATAAATCTGCTGTTTACTAATTTTTCTTACTCAGTGAACTTTCATAAGCCAAATGTTGCAGAGACCTGGACCTTTGGTACTCGTGTCCAAAGAAGTTATCTTTGTTGGTGAGGGAAAGGAGAAGGGTTGGTGGATCATTGGCATTTGGAGCTAATAAACAGCAGCTTCTGGAAAAGAATAGAAGCTGTTGGAGAAAGAGAACTTGAAATAATAATTCAAGAAGGTGGTTGTATAAAAATGTAGTTCAGGTAGCATGTTTCTAAGCTGAATATTACACAGGAGGATTCTTGTTGTAGGATTTGCTTAGTATTTGAAAGCTAAGTTTCAGATTTGGTTTTAAATGTGAAAGGATGTTTTAGAAGCCCCAAGGAACGGGTCTGTAATGAGGACTTTGCTCAGAGATCGTAACAGCCTATTTGAAGTACTCTGAATGTCAGTGAAAAAGCGCAGTGCTCTGACACACTGCGCTGAATGCCAATATAAAGTTAATCCGAAAAGTATTGTCTTTAAAAATAGCATCAGCTCAATTCAACTCTGCTCTACCAGATATTAAAAACCTTCCAGGCCTTAGATGCTTTTTATCCCTGTTTCACCTTGAGTGTTTAAGCAGTGCAAGTGTCAGGCTGCTGATTTCTCTGGAAGGCCTCAAAACACGTCTGTTGTAGGGGATCAAATGTTTTGCAGTAACGTGTTTAAAGCTAGTTTTAAACTGTGCTTGTACCATCTAAACAGTCTTTTCTGTGTTCATGCTCCTTTTCCTCTGCTCTTCTGAAGGCATTTTACAAGTTTTTCTTCTGCTCTTCCCATTTAGCCAGGAGTGCTGGGTGTCTAAACAGCACCAGTCACACACGGCCTCTTTGCTTCACTATTTGACAAAGCTTATGAACGTCTCATCTCTCATGCGAGCAGACTTGGCAGCATGGTTTTGAAGAAGCAAAACCAAAAATCTGCATGGGTGGGATTTGAAAAACAGGATGAGGGAATTTTCTGATAATTTTCTGAAGAACCAGATGTATTTCTTAAATGATGCACTGACTGAAGTGCCAACTCCAAGTGACAGTGTTCTTCTCTTGTAGGTTACTGAGCGGCACACAGGAAGAGCAGGTTGGTGATTGTTTTTCCTGCATTGAAATACTGAAGGGCAAGGGAACTGAGGGAGCTCCCGTGTCGCTGCAGCATCTTCCTTGCCCAAATACCCTGAAGTTTGTCCTTCGCGTTTTGCCTTGGTGGCAGGATTTGTCTGTAGACTCCATAGCAGCGATTGCTCCCTAGTGGAAAAAGCACTGCTTATCTCATTAGAAAAGCTGGCACTGCTGCACCTACATGAGTTCTTTTTGCCTCCTCAGCACAAGCAGATAGTTTTTTAAACTAATATTAACCCCTTTTATTATTCCTTTGCCCCATGCCTTGCCTGGGCTAGGTTGTCTAAAAAGAGCAATGGAAGCGTAATATAATTTAGTGTTGGTGAAAATGGTGGTGTTTAACCTCCTTGGTCTGGGCTAGTGTTTTGCTGGTTGCTCTGTAGGCTTGAGGAAGGGGGGGTTTTGGTCAGTTGGTTTGTTTTGGCTTTTTTTTCATGTATGTCAAATTGACCAGAATCCATTCTTTCTCCCCCGGGTGCCCGGCAAAGCACGGCTAGATCCCTAACTGTCAATGAGATGCTGCAACACTCGCCTTGTGTCCTGTCTACTGGGAATTTCTGCATCTGTCAGCTTTTTCACAGTGAGAAAGATGTTTAGTTCCTGCCTTGTTGCTGGGCCAGCAGCCTTGGTCTCAGCCTGAAAATCGAGCTGCATGGTTCCCGGTTCAGGCAGCCGTGCTGTGCTCCCCCGTCCGCCCCGTGGTGTAGCCATCACGACTGTAGATCATCCTGCAAATGCACAGTGGTCCTGTGCGGCTGCGCCGCGTGCTGTGAATAGAGAGGGGTTAAAAACACAAGCATGTGAAATCTTCCTCCCTGTTGTAAGATGCAGACCAGCCGCAGAGCTCTAATACAGGTGCCATGTAAAGAAGCATGTAAAGCAGAATATCTTGGTTTTTACTTGGGGTTTAGGAACAGCTGTCAGGACTTGGAAACACTGAGATCTGCCAGCTCTGCCAGGAAGAAAGCAGCCGAGGCAAAAAAAAGGTAACTCCGAGGACTTGTGGTGAATGTGCGTTTCCTCTGATCTTTGTTTTCGAATAGCGCAGATTTCCTACTGGTGACTTGGGACAAAGAAATGAGCCCTTTTTTGAAGTCCACTTTACCCTTAAAGTAAACTTGTTAAACAGTGGTCGCTTGAGGGTTCCCCACCCTGCTCTGTGTTCCCTGGTTCGGTTTCCCTTCCCCTTAGCAGCTTCTTCCCTTTTTAGCTAAGTGGTTTTTTTTTTCTGGGATCAATCAGAAGTGAGAATAGGAGGTGTTAACACTTGTTATTTCTCCACTTAAGCCACCTTGCCTTTTTTTCTTTGTTTTTTTATTCTTTTTTTCTGGCTAAGCTCCTGTTGCTTTCCTCACTGCTTTACAGTCTGAATCTAGAGGGATTACAAGAGAGTTACCGAAAAGGGTGTTCAGTGGAAGTGCTGCCTTCATCCACATACTTTACTCCATGGATCCTCAGGAGCAGGTTGCAAGTAAACAAGTCAAGGCACTGATAAAACTGCTGTCAGTGCAGCAGGCGTCCTGGTCACACTGGTGCAAGTACTTTAGGGAGAGCTGGAAGGCGATGTCGGGTTGTGTTTTCCCCTAGCTGGTGTGCCAAGACCTGAACCAAAAGGGAGCAGGGAGGAGTCCTTTTGGGCAGTGCCAGGATGGCCATCTGCCCCGTACAAGGCGTGCAGGGCTCTGACCTCCGCACCTGGGTAAAGGTGAACCAGTATCTTGGTTCCACATAGGTCTTGGGAAGTTTTTGGGGGGGGGCTGTGGAGCACAGCGAGGCTTTACCTGACCAGGAAGCTTTCAGGCTCGCGCGGAGAGGCTGTGTCTGGCCGAGTGACCGGTGATGAGTTGCTGCTCCTCCGGGCAGGGTCTCCCAGCTGCAGCTGGGTTTGCAGTTCTGCCTGGCTCAGAGACAGGTCTGGCAATTGGCGATTTTTGCCAGAGTGAATTGCTGCTCCCAAGGCAGCCTGTGCCGCAGCGCCGGCAAAGACGGCGTTCCTCGACGTGGTCAGAAGCCAGCCCTCTCCTCCCCAGCGCTGCCGTACCATGATGCTTCAAACAGGCAGTGAGGGGGGGCCCCGATTGCCCCCCCAATCAACCCATGAATCTCTCCTGTTACGCATGTGGGAACTCTGTAGGATTTCTAGGCTTTCCCGCTCCCCTGTGTTTATCTTGAGAAAACATGTGAGTTCGAAGCAAAGCAAATGCTGCAAGCTTTGTATCCGACTTCGACACGTTTCCAAATGCATGTGCACATTTAAATACTTACCTTGGGCGAGACTTGTTGTTCCAGTGTATTTATATGGCTACAAAATGCACGCATGCACCTCTTGTGACAAAATGCTCTAGCAGAATGAGCCAATTAAAACTCGAATGGTTCGTTATTGGTAACTCTGACCTGCTTTATGATAAGCCTTCACCTACTCTCATTTGACCTAAGGAGCTTTGCTATAAAGTGGTCCTGAGCCCAGGAGCAAACTTAGGGTCTTCAGAGGGGACAAGAGTGGAGTTTTGGAGCATCTTTAGCCCAGCAGAGGATTTGGGTTGACTGAATGTTAATGAGAGTAAATTTCTTTGTGTTGCTTGTGTCTTGAGCATCTTCTTAATTTCTCTGTCCTCTTCCTGCATTCCAGAACATCTGCAAGAACTGCAGTGGCATCTTCTGCGAAGCCTGTTCAGCGAATGAGCTGCCCCTCCCGTCTAGCATTAACCCTGAGCGCGTCTGCAATCCCTGTCACAAGCAGCTCATCCAGCAGTATTCGATAAGTCCCTTGTAGGGGACGGGTTGCGGAGAGAGGTGACAAAAAATGGTTGTAGCTTGATGACGGTTTCTGGAGTTGTTGGGGGGGAATGTGAAGAGAAGACACTTGCCTGTGTTGTTTGGAGGTCAGAGAGGAAGCAGCTTCATGGTGTTTATGGTCTCTTGTGACTAAAACAACAGCCTGAGCCTTCCCCGTACAAAAATCTGCCTGCTCTCAGACCTGAGCTTGTGCTGGGGACAGCTGCTTTGGGAATGTCACGTGAAGTAGCCCCAAGGTGTGCCCGAGCAGCCTCGGGGCACAGTGAGAACAGAGAGCCCCCACCCAAAAAAGAGCTGTGCACGTGCAAGGCGGGAACGTTCTCGTCCTCGAGCGTGTGGGGTGAAAGCACGCTGCTGCTAAGCACAGGCTCACTGAAAGCAGAACGGGAGCATTTTTAATCCTCATGTCTGGCTGCACTTGAAATACCATTTCTCCTTTCCCGGTTGCCTTTGACAATCTGGTTGAGCCGTGCTGCATCAGTGCCGGGTGTTAAGGTGGCCAGGTAGGACGTCAATAAACACTTTCTAGCTTCGTTTCTTTGGCTCAGCCCTCCGGCCGTGGGCTTGCTGTGCATATCAGTATCTAAAAACCAAACAAAGCTGTGAAAGTTCTCCTTCGGTATTTTAGGGGCTGGGGTGGGGGGGTGTAGGTGGTTTTGAGGCACACACAATGCGAGAACTGACGACCTGCACTGATCAGGCACAAAAGTGCCGTAAGGCATCTCTGACCTTCCTCTCAGAGACTCTCACTGTGACTTCGTGACCACGCGACGGTGGCCAAAGCTAAGGGTGTAACTGTACTTCCCATCTTGGTGTGGTAACGGGACGAACTGGATTCCCAAGTATTTAGATACCAAATCCTCACCGTGACACAGAAGGTTTAGGGCCACTTTGATCCACCTCTCCCCCTTGTGCACATGGAAAAGTCATTGTAATAAACGTGGCGTTCCACTTTTTTTTTTTTTGTTAGATCAAAATGAAAGTGAGATGAAATTGGAATGCTTTTCACCTACTATAAATTCTAATTTGAAACATAGTTTAAAGAGGTTTCACTGTTCGTGCTACATCATTATTTGTTGCTGTTACCTCAAGGAGTTTTATGTTACTCCAAAAAGTGGTAGTGGCTTCCTCATGAAGCACGTAGCATGTCATAGTAGTGTTTGGTCTGTTTTATACTGGAAGCCTACTTCAGTCTTTAAGACCACAGAATGTTTTGTAGTCCACAGAAAACCAATGTATTTATATGTGACAAATGCATTTGGTTTTGTACAGATTTTATTAGGGGTTAGCGGTTTAATTCCTGAGAGGGGATTTTCTATTCATTAGACTGGCTGGAACCGCATTAAAAAGCGTGTCAGAGCTGAGGCTATTTACGTGGCTGGTGCTAGTTTGTACCAGGAATTACTCTCCTCTAGTTCCCTCTAGGCCTCGGCGTGTTCAGCCACCCAAGTTCTCCAGCTCCTCTCGGTGCCCTTCAGAGCCAGAGCCCTTCACAGGGGGGCAACTTTAAATAGTTTTTCTGTTGTTTTTTTCTCTTCGTGGTAGTTACAAGAGACGTTTCCTTGCTGCTATCCCTTGAAGTAGATTTCTAGCTGTAAACAGTGTTGAAATACAAAAAGCCTAGACCTTGGGTGTGGGCACACTGCTCTGATGGGGTGAGACACCAGAGGTGAATGGACAAGACACCGGATTTAGTGGGGGTTTTTTGGGTACATCCTGTACACATCTATGAGCTTTCAGATTCCGGCATCCAAACCCAGCGTGACTCATGCCACAAGGAGAAAGTGAGACCCAAGCAATTCCCACCTTAGAGGATTAAACTGGAAGCAGGGCTTTTACTGTAAATTACTTTAATGCAGGTATGTCTAGCATTTTGCAGTTCCAAAGCGACAGCTTATTTGTGACCTGTACCCAGCTCTTGACCGTCCCGGCAGGAGCGGCTGCCACTCTGCTTGTTGGAAGTGAAGGCTGTGATTGTTGTTCATGTGAAAAGCAGGACAGCTCTTGAGCAGGTCCTCGCAAGTCACGCGAGATCCCTACGAATGAGCAGGGACGAGGGTGAAAAAAACCCACCCCTTCAGAACACAGCACTGGCAGCTGAAATGGAAACTGGCATTTAGAAAGGTCAGAGCGAGACTGTGCTCGCTGCCTGCGTCAGCACTTGTCGCTTTACTGCTGCCTCAGACTCCAGTGAATTTCTCTGTCTGCAAGCACTGCGTGTTACGCTTCGTGATGCTGCAAATGTTCAAGGCGCGTTTGCTCAGGTACTGCTTGTAACACTAGAGTGTGGGTTGACGCCTGGACTTTTGGATTGTGGGGAGCGGAGGGCAGTTCTGTGGATCTTAATTTTGTTCCACACGATAATAAAAATTTGGATTATCTGTATCCCGTGTCCGGAGTGGTCTTTCCATCCCATTCCACTTTGGCTATGCGTATGAAAATGTTTCAAAACCAGTAATGGATGACAGATGCTTATGCAGATTGAGAGAAGCGTGGTAGGAGGGATGAGGTATTGGCTATACTACACGGTGCGCCTGCTGACTTCTGTGTGTGAGGGTCTTAAATTGCTCTGGTTTTATTAATTGCAAATACTGGTGGTTTATTAATGCTTTTTACACCATTACGCAGCTGGAGACTAGAACTGCTCCATCCTGCAGCGTCTGCCATTCCTGCAGTACAGCTGCTTCTACTTTTGCAACAGACAATCTTTCCACAGTATGTCAACACAATTTATTACATGCTTTTACACAGCACTAAACTAGCTTTTATACAGTTTATCCTTGTTACTGAGCAGCGACACTTGTACTCGGATCTTTATGCTCATACCCACGGAATGTGTTCGCTTTGGCCTAAAAAGAAAAGAGGAGGAAAAAGAAAAATCACTACCTTGCTGCAGCTTACTGCTTTCCCATTTTCCAATACACCACTGCATTTTATTCTGAATTACTGTCTCCAGTAACAGAATAGTTGGATTTCACAATACTGAAAGATCTCACCAAAAAAGGTAAGATGACAAAAACAGCTACACTGGGTGAGGCATTTTCATGCGGGGCTGCGCAACACACACCCACCCCCACATGGGGTGGGGAGGTGTTTAATTCCGCCGGGGCTGCGTCCCAGCGCAGAGGCCAGAAACTTCTGGATGTTCCGGTGGCAGGGAGGCCATGTGGGATGCAGGTCGCAGCTAGGTGCACTGCTTTAATCTGCCGCAAGAGCTTATCCCTGGCCTGATTAAAAATCCAGAGCTGCAGGGCTGTAGGGCACTGGGGGTGGGGGTTGCCCTCCCTGCTGCAGCTGGGGGGGCCAGGACCTTGGGGAGCAGTGACCACCACCCCCCCTGCTTTCAGAAGGGAGTTCATGGAAGCATTACAGGTTGGCCAGGGCCTTCCAGAAAGGTCACAGGACACTTCTTTCCTGGTGCAAACATTCCACCGCAGGGTTGTAGACCTGGAAAACCCTTCTTTTGCGGGGGGGGGGGGGGCCTGTCTGGGGTTTTCAGGAAAGAGTGTGACCTGATGATGTTTCAGCTGCAAAAACTGCCAGGCCACACTGTGCCTGCCTCTGCAGGAGGGCCACCTCCATCCTGCTGGCACCCAACACAGCCTGCGGGTTTTTTTGGTAAATGTCAGGGAGATACCCACACTTTCTGTGCAAGGAAAAAAAGCAAAAACTGCCCCACTACAGGACACACCTCCCCCCCCCAAGTTAACATTGTGAAAAACATTGCAACCTGTTTGCATTGAAACCGCGCTGACTACCACTACCACTTAGCCAGGCTCCTGGCCTGCTTTTGAAAGAGTGGATGGATTAAAAAAGAAAAAAATAAACTGAAGAATGTTACTTTGTCACACTTCGTTCTCTGTAATTGTAAGGAACATTCCCTTAGCCCAAAGACTAATTACTGTTAATCCACAGCTGTGGAAAATATTTAGTTATGTTTCCTCTTCTGTCCCAGGGAATACAATCCCCTCAGAACCTTTAATCAATCACAGGCACAGAGTTTTAAAGGGAAGAAAAAAAAAAACAAACCAAACCTCTTGCACACACCAGCAAGTCTCAGCTGTGAAAGGGTAAGTTGCTGCGTAGCTGGGCAGCAGCTGGGCAGCGCTGCAATCTCTGCTGGCTGCAGCTGTAACCTCAGAAAGGAGCTGCTGCCTCTTTGCTACAGGACTGTGATCCTGTGGACTCTGGATTCGCAAGGCAGAGGGTCCAGGCTTGATGCCTGACCTCAGATGAGCTGCGATAATCCCCTTTAGCCACTCTAAATTTTACCCTTTAAGCTAGTTGAAATCCCAAGTATCAGAAAGAGTAAGCCTGAGGTGCATGTTGCTAAAAATGGAACAGGAACAACAGAGAAGAAGGATGCACTTACCATATCTGAGACCGTGCCACTGTCGCTAGCAGTTCTCTTTTGCCTTTGGATGTTCATTCAGGAATAGCTCAATGGTGCTGCACTCTGGGGAACAATGTGAGAGGTGGTCTGTGTTCAGCGACTTGCATGCGTTACTTTTTTTTCTTTGTGCAAAGCCAATGTCACAATATGGTAATTTGGAAATTGACTTTTAAGATGATCCTTTTGCACAGGATGTTAACAGTAGCGGGACAAGCTGTGCCAAAATAGCCGAGGAGCCGAGTCCTGGGGTTGTTAAGATCCCCTCCTCATTACTTACGCAGCTGTGACCCCTCCTTAGCCATTGCAGCGACTGCGTCCTCATGGCTCTCAAAATGCACGTCCACTTCTCCTGTGGCATCTCCATGGGAGTTGTATTCTACCATAATCCTTGTGGGCTTCAGCGGAGCAAAAAACTGAAATGGAAGAAAACAAAGGAGAGTTTGGTGAGAAAGAAACAACAGAACAGTAACGCACCCTATTAGTGAGAAAATTGATGGTTTTACTCATAAAGCCTGTCCAGCTATGGGGGAGTCTGAGCTCCTGAGTAACAAAAGGCTCCCCTTCTCTGTCTGGGTGCAGCTGAGGCACACCCAAGTCACCCGTCCCACAGTGCACAGCCTCCCACCCTCTGTGAGCTCCTGGCAGAGTAATTCTTGACAGGAACAAAAATCCTCCCACAGCACACATGTTCTGTACACATCGAGTCATTAAGTACAGGTACATTTGTTCTGCAATGCTGTATACTACTAAAAATGAAGTAAAATTGATACTAAGAAGGTTCTGAAATTCATTTTTGTACAATCAGCTACTCTGAAATCTAGCTAAGATTATAAATGACTACTTGAGTCAAAAAGACAGATGCTAAGACAGCCCAGCAAGCTTTAATCCATTCTTATTTATGGAGGTGAGCATATCACAGTTGTGCCCACGAGGCCATGGCTGCCCTGGGGAGCCTGTAACCCTGAGCAAGCTCAAGTGTCCAAACGCATTCAGCCTGAAGGCAGGCAGCACTGAGGATTAACACAGATAAAAATGTGAAGTCACATTAGCTGTAACAATTAATCAAGGGTTTGCATTGGTAATGACAACTGAATTTCATTCATAGTACTACTGTTACTCACATTTATTATGTCTTGGGCACTAGCTTGGGCAGGAAAACCCCTCATGTGGACAAAGTGCAGTGGTGATGAGATGTTACCAGATTCTACAACCTGTCTGGAGCTCTCTGCTCCTTCCCTGCATAATTCTGTGGAATGGAAGAA